GCTCCGCGGCATGCGGGATCCTCCCGGACCGGGGCACGAACCCGTATCCCCTGCATCGGCAGGCGGACTCCCAACCACTGCGCCACCAGGGAGGCCCTATCAACATATAATTTATTCATCCATTCCCTTTGTTGATGTTGATGGATATTTGGATTGTTTTCAGTTTTTGGCTGTTATGTATAAAGCCACTGTGAACATTCTTATACAAGTCTTTGTATGGACACGTGCTTTCATTTGTCTTGGTTAGATACCCAAGACTGGTATTGCTAGATCATTGAGTAGGTTTATATTTAAATTTATAAGAAATTTTACCAAACTGTTTTGCAAATTGGTTGTATTATTTTACATTCCTTCTAGCAGAGTATATGAGAATCTTTGTTGCTCCACATCATTGTCAGCATTTGGTATTGTCTGTTTTTAATTTTACCTATTCTTGAAGGCATGAAATATTATGTTATGGTGGTTTTGCCTGTCTCTAATGACTAATGGTATTGAGTATCTTTTCGTGTGCTTATTAGTCATTTGTATATCATTTGTTGGTGAAACATCTATTCAGATCTTTTGCGCATTTCAAAAATTGGGTTGTTTGTTTTTTATTATTGAGTTTTAGGAGTTCTTTATATTCCGGTTAAAGTTTTGTCAGTTGTATTTTTGTGGGTTAGCCTTCTGGACAGAATGAAGGAGAGCTCCCATTAAAATCTCCTTGATGGGCACCTTTCCCATTGTGCTACCCTCTCCCACAATCCTCTCTGTCTACCTTCTGGCCAGGTAGATCTTTCAGGGTCCTGCCCTGTTCTCTTCTTCCTGTCCCCTGCTGGAACACTCTTCCCCTCTTTGCTTTGATGAGTTTTCCTTATCCTTCAGTCTCAGCCTCTCAGTCCTCTGAGGAGCCTTCCTTCATGAGCTTGACCATACTGTGTACTCTTGTTAAGGGCTCTCACAGTACCTGTACTTTCCCATGGCAGTATTTTATCACACTTTCTGGATGGTGCTTTTTTTTCATTTGAGTTGCTCACCAGGATGTAAGCCCTTTAAGGGCAGATGCCAAACTTGTTTCCTGTATACCCTTGGGCCTAGCCTGGACTGTTGTTAGCTGATGTTTGAGCAAAGATATATGAATGGATGGCTATCTGCTTAAAGTACATGTTTTGCATTATTAACTCAAGCAGGGTTGTGGGGCGCAGGGAGGGGGGAAAGAGGGGTACCCTAGACATTGAGAT